TTTTTTTTTTTAATGATTCTGAATTTTGTTCCACATTCCCCCCTCTATCCGAGACCCTGTATGGTGATTCCTTGCAAAGCAGGGCAGCCGTGGTAGCTGGGGTCCCTCTCTTTCTTCTGATCTTGAGCTGGGGCTCACATGGTCCGTTACTCATTTGAATTGATAACTTCTTTGTAATGTTGTTTCTTCCCTCTTCCTTGCTCCTGACAGGGAGCACCTTAAATGGGCCCTCAGGATCTTTTAAAACCCCAGTCAGTACACTCTGAAGTTAGATCGAGAACACTGGCTTCGTGCATTATGTTCTGCCAGTTGACCCTGGTGTCCCCAGAGGCTAGATGGTATGATCCTGAGCCCCCAGGCATTTGGGCCATTAAACAAACAAACAGTAATTTAAGCTTAATAAATTTTGAGAGTCAAAAGAAAATTCAGCTATTTCTATGGTAAAAAGGAAACAAAAACCAGCACCCACTGACTGCCCTTGAGTCAGTTCAGACCGCCTGTGACCCTATAGGTCAGAGAAGAACCGACTCATGGGGTCTCTCAAGCTGCCAATCTTTACGGAAACCAAGTACCACCTGTTTCTCCTGAGGAACAGCTGGTGGGTTTGAACCACCAACCTTTTGATGTGCAGCCAGGACCTTCACCACGGAGCCACATGACCATTTTGAATTCACTGTCTATTTAATCTGGCAAATCTCTGCTAGGCTGGCTGAGCTATCCTTTTGCGGAAACTTTTATTTCCATAATCCCTGTAGAAAAGACATTTATATTTTAAATGAGTTGGCTCATCATTCTTTGAAATTGACAAGCTGCAGAGTAAGAGATTCCGTTGCCCTGAACAACGTACAACTATAAGACAGTATTGAATTCGTGCCATACCGCTGGGCGTCTCTGTCCTTTCCCTGCTGGAGCTTTTTAATCGCAATCTTCTTCTGCTATTATTCTTATCTGCCGATGCTTCTTGAGGGGGATGTGGATGCATAATGTGTAGACTGGCTGGTAAGTTTTCATATCAAAGAACAAAAAGCCAAAATAAAAGTACAAATCACTTTGAAATAACTAAGTAAATATAATTATGGCTACCGTGAGACTACTCAGGTCTCACTGACTAAACAATATAAGACTTAACAAAACCACGAATTATTCCTCCATGGGAAACAGGTAGTTATTCCTATTTCAATATTAGGATCATGTCAGGCTTTCAAAATTGCTGGTACATTTTCCTCATGTAATAGAACCTTACAGAGATGGACACCTAGTTTGATTCATATTAGAGAAAGTGCTATGCTAAGCAGCACAGAAAATAAATTGACAGTCAATAAGGGGACATTATTCCTTTCTTCATAAGAGAAAGTATATGGTTCAACAGGGCTTCTTGAGTGCTTTTCCAAAGAGCCCTGGAGGACTGAGGTTCACACCTGGAAAAGCATTGTGAAAGTAAGATGCAATCCTCCCATCAAATTTATGGTAGTGGTATTTACTGAATGCTTAATTGCTTGGCACAATATCATGTGCTGCCCTGGCTTTCGCCATTGAATCCTCACAAAGACTCTTTGCGGCAGGTGTTATAAACTGCAAGTGTTAGTAGTGATGGGATTCCCATTTCACAGTTGAGGAAACCGAGGCTCATAGAATTTAAGAAACTTGATCAAAGCCTCCCAAACAGATGTAGAGCTGGGGCTGGATGTCTATGTTACTCATTTCCTTTCCTTATCTCAATTTTATACTCCGTGGGGGATATTACCTACAACAATGGTCAGTGCTTTCTAAATAGTGAACCAGCAAAGAACCCAGATGCTCCTGTTTATCGAGCCTGACAACACTGAGCTAAGAGCAGAAAAATGGGCAGGGCTCTTATTTCGAATCTTTCCAATGATTATAGGCCACAAATCTGTTTCAACCTTGAACTTTGTATCTATAAAGTGGGCCCAATAGTCCTCTCCTAATTCACAGAGTTGTTTTGCATATCAAATAAGAAAATAAAGAACATTTTATAAATGCAAGGGCTCAATTAAAAAATAAAATTAAGAAGGCATAAAATGCAGTTTCCAAAACATCATGACAACGGAATGCTATTCTAATTTTCTCACCGCCCATCTCAAAGTGAAAAGACGGGCAATTTGAAGTAACCGAGTACATGAAATGATAAACTTATAAAGTGATTGTTCTTTCAATCTAATTTCTGATCTATCCCAACAAGAACACTTCTCACAATTTGCACCAGCTATTCACTCTTTATGCATTATTCTTTCTTACCACATGCAGGTAGAGCTGGCTTTATTTGGTGAATGTTTTCTTTGTCCCCCTGCTCCTCAGACTCAGCGGTCAGTAAGGCGGGCATGTCCACACTGCTGACACACTTCTCCATGGGGGGCTGCAGCCAGGACCTGCTGCTTTTGGACCCGATGGAGTGAAGTGACTAGAAGGAAGAAGATTTAATATTTTAAAATATTAAAATTATCTTTATCTTCTGTAGAAGATTTTGTAGAATTGACACAGCAAAAATAATCTTTGGAGAAAGAGTGAGGGGAAACATTAAAAATCTAAAGGAATTGAGAAGGCTAAGAAGTGAGAGAAAAGAAAATTATGGTAGAAAATGAGAAAAAAATAGAAGGAAACAATGTGCGATAAAATGGAAGACAAGTCTCCTAGACACATAAATCAAAATGTGCTCCTTTGCTATACTCGACCATTAGTCGGTAGAAGGTGAATTAAAAATCAGTTGTGTGTCAGAAATTCAGAAGGACATACAAATAAAACACACAGCACTTGAGAAGCCTTTCCTTGTGAGGTGTCTGGCGGCGGTGCTCCAATTCCTTTTAGAAGGAGATGCCGAGCACATGCATTTGCGGATGGTTTCTGTGAACACAGGTTTAATGAAAAGAATACTCTAGAAAGTTAATTGTGTTGACCTGACAAAAAGGAAACCATTTCAAGGTGCTTTAAAATCCAGAATTTCTGTCCCAAGTTTATTCAGCCTTCTGCTTTTGACATGCAGGTTTCTCTCTCTCCTTTTTTTCTCGACAATGGATAAAATGAAACCCCAAACCGAAACGCTCCCTCGGGATGCCACTCAAGTTCCGCTAATGTCTCCGAGGCTTGCTCCTACCTCACGGGATATCCTCATGTTGTTCCTTCTGCCAGAGAGTGGAGGTGGTCCGGGAACTTTGGATCCGAAGGCGATATGACAAACATCTTGGTTTTTATTGTTGCGTCCGCTGCCCACTCCTCGGTTAATGAACTGGTCTGTTCGGTAAAAAGAAGTCAAAACAATCCACTAATACAATGACCATAAGAAACTATGCTGTAGCATTTCTGAAAACATCCATGTGGTACGAATCACCGCCGGACACATTAAAAACATAGGTCCTGGGATCCACACCAAATTATCATGTTTCTAGAATTAGAATCCTAGGGCTGAGGAGAGAAGACCAAAATCGAGACCAGCATTGCCCAAAGTAGATGACACAGTGCCCTGGGAGAGGCTGGTGTAAGAACCTCTCCTAGGCTTGTGTGACCCCATTTTAAAATTTAAACGGCTGCCCAGGCCTCTCTTATCCCTAAAGGATGTAACCTCCTTCTGCCCCAAAGGATGTAACCTCCTTCTGCCCCACGCCCCGGCTTTGCCCCAAGATGTGCTTGGAAGTGAATTGTTACCCAAATGCTAATTAACCTCTTCCTGTTCTCAGAATGTGCCTTTGGTCCCTTACCCCATTCCCTCCCTGCCGCAGGGCCCTCAACCCCTCCCTGCTCACCCACAGAAAGGAATATAAAACCCCGGTGCCCTCCAGCCCCGCTGAACGAACTGGCTTCAGTTGTCGCCTTATAAGCCCCATCTGAATATCGCTCGCGGCCTGGGGGACTTTTGAGAGCGACTTGAGATGACCGAGGGCTAGAAGAGAGACTCCCAATTTGGACATAAACGACATCATAGTGGTTATTAATTTCCCACAGCAGATTCAAATTAACTGTGATCGCGTCAATTATGACTCTTGGGGTCCTTATAGGACAGTAGAACTGGCCCTGTGGGTTTCCAAGACTTTCAATCTTTCTGGGATTCGAAAGCCTTACCTTTCTCCTGTGAACCAGCTGGTGGATTCAAACCTGTGACTAGCGGCTCAGGGCCCAGCCCACTATGTCATCCCGCCCCTCAAAAGCAGGTACCTATACTTCGTTCTGGATTAGGGGCTATAGTACAAGTTTTTCATTGTTAAAAAGTTTTCAAAGGGGTATATGGAGTCATCTGTTTTTTTTTCTGCAAAGGGGGCAGTAGGCCAATTAAATTTAGGGACTTATGATCTAGACTTTTAACCCGTTTACCCAAGTGATTCTCATACTCAATATCATTTGCCAACTACTGCCACAAATGTTTTTCCTTAAAAGAGAGAATTAAAAGTGAGTATGAGGAAGCATCTTAGTTTCTCTTTAATACAACGATTAAAGGAAAACTGCGGGATTTACTTGATAAGAGTCTTTATAGAGGACTTTCACCAAATGACCATGCTCAGATCTCAAAACTTCTTGCTTTCGAGGTAATTCAGACCCACGGCAACCCTTTAGGGGGTATATTTCCTCTTTACTGGGTGGGTCTGCTAAGAGAAGGTGGGCAAAATGCTGATTATATGATTCAGTTGTGAGTGATTGCTGACAGGATTGATTGTGGCCATAAAAAGTTGGAACGCTAATTGGGGATCTGCCATCCTGCTGCATATCAAATGAGCCAGGAGGAGGGCTCTCACTACTGTCAAGAAGGGTCTGGCCAGGAGGAGAGTGCATCCTTTGGACCCCTAAACTAGACCCTTGAGTGCTAAACCCTCTCCATCCAGGGATGCGAATGCTGTGACACCACCCACCACCCGAGGGGCAGCATCAGCATCAAGAGCCAGAGCACCAGGCAGAGCAGTGAACATGTGGAGTCGAGTGCCTTTGGGCAGAAGGCTCACTTGTGAAGCGGCATGCCTTTAGGCATTTCATTGGGGAAGGTTTGTTTGCTGACCCCTGGGGCAAGAGCTGAGCACCTTTGGGCCAAGGTTTATGGTAAAGTAGCATGCCCTTTGGAAATTTATCAGTCATGTTAAAAGAGCTTTGACATTGCCCAAGCAGGGCAGAGGCCAAGGGGCCACATGGTGTGCGCCTGTGGGCATGGCTGAGAAACTGTTATCTTAAGTGACAACTGTATTCTGAGCCTTTCTGATCCTGAATTGTAACCTGTTAACTTCCTAATAATTGTGAGTTTTATCTGAGTTCTTTGTGGCCATTGTCATGAATTATCAAACAGCAGAGAAGTGAAGTGTGCTGTGGTAGGGATGGTTGGAGGGTGACCTCCACCTCTTCATAGATCCTTGGGTCGATAAATGTGATACTCCTTTCCCCTCATGAAAGGGGCCCTGATGGTGCAGTGGTTATCTATTGGACTACTAATCACAAGGTGTGCAGTTCAAAGTCACCAGCCGCTCCAGGGGAGATGAGGCTTTCTACTCCTGTAAAAAAGTTACAATCTCGGAAACTCACAGGGGCCTACAGTGTTGCCATTAATTGGAATTAATTCAATGAATTTGGTTTGGTCCCCCTTGTGAAGTCAATGGAAGTCAGATGCCATCACCACATCGTTTTTATAAAAAATCCCTCAGTTACTCATGGCGGTGACTCTATAGGACAGGATAGAAATGCCCACTGGGTACCAGATGCTGTAACTCTTTGTGCAGCAGAAAGCCTCATCTATCTCTCCTGGAGTGACAGGTGAGTTGAAACTCCTGACCTTGTGGTTAGCAGTCCCGTGAGTAACCCAGTGTGCCACCAGAGCTCCCTTCTACAGAAACTCCATTCAACAAACACTTGGGTGAGCATTTCCTTTCTCAGGCAGCTCCTAGAGGTTCTCAGGGACACAAAATGGAGAAGACACATTGCATGCCTTCAGGGAGTCTGGCGAAAGGTGATAAGACAAACAAACAAGCAACTATAATATAAGGCAGGCCAGTGGGAATAAGTAGGCTTCTGGATGGACCTGGAATGACGGGCAAGAGTTCAAGGAGAGGTGTAGGCTGCCAAAGGCAGAAGAAAGGCATGGAAGAGGGAACGGGCAAGTATGCTTGGGGAATACTGAAGTGATAAGATCAGCCGGATGGGAAGACTTGGGAATAATGAAAAGAGTAATAACATGCTAAGTACCTGCTCTAAATTTTGTGGGCAACAGGATATTATTGAAGATTTGGTGGAGAAAAAGATACTGGTATCACTTCTAGGATAAGGGAAGAATGCTCATCCCATCGCTGCTGCCTTTTCCTATGGGGCACACAACTAAATTCTACTTTCTAGCTTCGCTGCAGTTATACGGGCCACGTGTCTGAACTGTGGTTAAGGAAAACTGTGATGTGGATGTGAGTAGTTCCCATTATTTCCTGACTACTGAACCTTCTGCATTATCCAGTAACCCATACTGCCATCATCTCTCAATAAGGGGGGAGCCAGTAGGTGAGTTTGGTTTCTGAATAAATTTAAGGAAGGGATTGGGGCCCTGGGGCTGTTACTGCAGTTGGCCTCTCCGGACTAATAAAGCTGTAATGGTGAAGGCGCTTAACCACTCAAAGCAGTCCCCACTACCTAGAAGTCTTCTGCTGGGTAGGATTTGCAAGACAGGACTACTTAAAGAAGTCCACATTTATACCACAGTCATGGGCATATTAGGAGCTACTAGCTACTTCCTGTCTGATCCACGCCTCTGAAAAAAAAAATTCCTATCTAGTTAGTCCCATTACTCTCTGTTGAAGAGTTGTGATTTTACATATGTGATAGAACTCAAAACTATTCCTCAGGCAACAGTATGAGAAATGGCACACTTTCTGACCAGTATGTAAGAGGAGGCTTCAAAAGGCTCATTGAAACGTGAATTAAAAGATGGGGTGGAGGGCCCCGGGTGACTTACTGGTTACATGTTGGGCTGCTAATCACAGGGTCGGCAGTTTGGAACCACCAGCCAGCTCTGAGGGAGAAAGATGGCGTTTCTACTCCCCTAAAGAGTAGTCTTGGGAACTCACTGGGGCAGTTCCAGTTCTCCCCTGTCCTACTGGGTCGCTGAGAGTGGGCACTGAGTTGGCGGCACTCAGCTTTGGTGTCTGAGTTATGTGTGGACTGTGTGGATCTTTTTCTCTTTATAATAAATGAAGTTGAACTGATGGGAGAGGCTAGATTATTGAACTGAACTGACAGCATTTTTGCTGGACAAAAGACCTGAGGTGGGAAGCCCAGTGGGGAGGGGCTACTCCATGTTGGGTTTCTTCAGATTTATGAAGTCCCATTAAGCAGGAAAACATTTGTCCAAAGGGCAGAACCAGAAACTAACAAGCACGCTGTACGTGCAGGAAGGTTTTAGACAAGTATACAGAATGTTTCTTCTGAAAGAATGTTCGGTTGTTAAGATGGCGGATTTTCTGTCGTTTTTGTGTCCAAGCAGAGGTCTGAATAGCTATCCTCAATATTAAAAAAAAGAAGATTCAGACATCAGATGATTCTGATAGTAGATAGTAGAGATAGGCTACTATCTCTAGCCCGGTCGTCTCTTCTCAGTTTTGTTATTGCACCCAGTAGCCCTGACCAGCTCCTCTTAGCTGTCTCAAAGACACCTCAAACTCAACTCTGCCAAGCTAAGAACTTGATCTAATGAATGGCATTGTAGTTCATCCATTCTGGACACATCCCTCTCCATATAGAATCCATGTGCTCCCTCCAGCTCCTCCGTCACGACTGACATCAAAGTACCCAATACCCTCTTCTGGTGACCACAGAGCCTCTCAAGTGTTTCCTGTGTTCACGCTGGCCCCTCAACCCTTTCCACCCCCAATGCTGCCAGAGTGGTCTTACAGAAACCTAACTCTGACCGAGTCATTCCCTTTACTTCACTTAGCACCCTTCCATGGCTTCCTTGTGTTCTTAAGACTAAGAAGAAAGCGCTTACCATGGTCTGCAGAAAACTGCAGGTTCTGGATTCACTTCATATCCTATGCCTCTGTTTTCTCTGTTCTCAAGAGATGGACCTTCTCAGAGCTTCCAAAGATGGACCTTCTCTATCCCCCAAGGCTAGAAAGCTTTGCTCTTCTACCTCTCAATTTAAGTTGTTTTGAGTAGAAAAGACCAGTTACTCAGTACCATTTTTATCCCCAGCTGGTGAACCCAGCACAGCACATGGTAGACAATGAATAAATACCATCAAGAGTGTGGCTTACATCCAAGAGTAAAAAGATTGTTTTGGG